CACCACACCCCCCACCACACCCCCCCACCACCCACCACACTGCTTCGTTGTCCTGGACAGAGGCATGCACTCATCAAATGTAACAATCAACGGCAGTAAGATTATACCAGCCTGCATCGAAAGTAAATAAGAGGGCTGCCCCATCAAAAGCGCCGGCATCGAAGGTAAAGCCTATACTACCTCTGCACCAATGCATGCAAAAGGGCCATCTTCGAATGTAACCACTTGATCCTACACAAGCATCCTTTTCCATGCGGGCAAGCCCACACACAGCAATCCGCACACGAAAGCTTCCCCAACTGACACTCAGCCACACAGTCGGACTGTGTGGCCAACATTCCGTCGCTTGGTGCACAGTAAAGCTGTGACGGGGACGGTTCACCCTGTCGCACACATTACGGACAAAAGCAAAATGCCTACACATCGGCTCAACCTCTTCATGAGCTAGCCTGGAGCTTTGCCAGCAGGTCGTCGCGGATCTGGAACAGTTCGCCTGAAGACAAGCCCTTCTTGACCTGCTCCACCATGTCCTTGATGATCTGCTGGTGCAAGCCACGGGCACAGCAACTCACAACCGACCTCCACTTCAGGTCCGAATCCTTGTGCCTGATGTAGCTTTTCTCGGCATAGCACTCGAGCCTGCACGTGCCCCACTCCAAAGCCTCGAAGATCATGTTCTTCTTCTTCGGCTCCTTCGGGTCCTGCTTCGGGACTACGATCTTCTCCTCTGCAGGGATGCTTGTCGAAGTCGCCGGCTTCTGAGCCGACTTCTTGGGCTTCTTCGGGTTCTTCTTCGGGACTACGATCTTCTTCTCTGCAGGGCTTGTCGAAGTCGCCGGCTTCTGAGCCGACTTCTGGAGCTTCTTCGGGTTCTGCTTCGGGACTACGATCNNGCTTGTCGAAGTCGCCGGCTTCTTAGCCGACTTCTTGGGCTTGGGTTTCGTCTTCTCGGCTGCTGCCGGGGCATACACCATGGCATTCGCGATCAACTCGCAATCGGCGATTGTGGGCGACACCTTGGGCTTGGGAACGGAGGCCTTCTCATCCTTCTTCTTGCCCTTGGAAGCCGCAGGGTCCTTTATGGTCTTCGGCTTTGGAGGGGCCACTGGCTTCGCGATGGCCTTCTTGACAAGGGGCTTCTTGCCTTTCTTGCCCTTCTTGGACTTCTGCAACTCTGCCTTTGCACCCTGCTGCCCGGAACGACCGAGGATCTTCTGGACGACGGGGGGGAGACGAAACAACAAATCACGACGAAAAGGCACGGTCCGTGGCGGGCTGACTGGCGGGGGCAGTGGTGGGGGAAGTGGTGGGACAACCTGTGGTGGGGCAACCGGCGGGGTCTCTTCGACTTCGGAAGGCGGCTTCCACGGAACAAGCTGCAACAGGTTCACTTCACCAGCCCCCTCGGACTTGGACTCCGGATCGAAACTCAAGTGGAGGTCCACCTTCTCTAAGCAAAGCTCGAGTTTGAGCTGCTCAGCTCGGGCCAGCAACCGCCACAACCTCGACTTCAG